TTAACCTCCACTACATTTATCTAGTTCTCTTTTAAACCCTATTATAGTCCTAGCCTTCAGAACCTCCTCAGGCAAGGAGTTCCACAGATTGACTATGTGCTGTGTGAAGAAGAACTTCCTTTTATTTGTTTTAAACTTGCTGCCCATTAGTTTTCCGGAGCCTGGAAAAATAGGATCCTTCATTTAACCACAGAATCAGGACACCAACAGTTACCACTGTCTCCAACAATGCACTTCAGACTTGACCTAATTGATCAGAACCAGGGGAAGGCTGGAAAACATTCATGTTCTTTCATCCATTCGATACTTGGCCTCTCTACAGAGAATGCCAAAGGTGTCAGTATGGGTGCGGGTGCTCCTTTGTGAGTGCGGTATTAAGGGACCACATTTTCAAAAGACTCTAATTTTGAGTGCCTCCATTTTTGAGTGCCAGATTTAAGATATCGGGGGCCTGATCTTCAGAGGTGTGGCGTCCCCATGATAATGAGTCTGCAGATCCTAGAAGTTTCCAACCAGGCACTCAAAATGGGCGCACACTTATAAAAATGGAGGCCCTCATCACTGATGCTACCCAACTCATTTAGCAAAATGAGTTTTTATGCCATCCCTGTGTGCTCTTCCCATTTTACCATAAGCAGCTGTGAAGAAACACAGTTACAGTGTAACAGGAATAAATGAGCTTTCCAAAGGGACTGCCTATCGCTGCCTACTGATTCACTAGAGAGGTATGTGTGTATGATGGATGGTGGGGGTTATTTCTCCTTTGCTACTTGCATAAAACATGACATTCCCAGTATAATACATATCCTCCTTTTGAAAAATAAACTGAAAGCTCCATAGGATCAATTAATACTAATTTTGTCTCCAAGTTAAAAACAAAAAAGTGTAAGTGCCTTTTTCCACTGGACAGCAGAGGAAAATCTGTGATGTCACAACCTGCAGTCTAATTGCTCATGCAAATGTGATGCTTTGTGCCCAGGAAGCAGGCAAAAACACAATATTAATCTCTATTGAAAAGGTTAAATTTTAAACTATTAGAGGAATCTGGGGGGTTATGAGTAATTCATCCCCAGCAAATGAGGGAGGAATCGGCTGCACCTGTACACCCAGTCTACAATATTTTACAAACCCTGACACAAGGCAGCATCCTAGGAACCAGTCTGCCAGCTAGTAATTGCTGCTTTAGCCCTAGTACCTGATCACACCTTTTCTCTGCCCCAAAACACCTGCCTGTAACCAGCTTCAACATGCTTTGTTGGGGGCGGAGGGAAGGCAGGGAGAAGGAGGAGGAGAAGCCTGGGTCTCGGCTGGCTGAGAAAAAAAAAAAAAAAAAAAAAACTATGCCAGGTTTATATCAGCCCATGTTTCCTAGGAACTTTTTTATTAGCCCTTCCCCTAGAAACTATTTAAGGGCATCACCCCCTTTGGAACAATAGTTTTCTAGCAGTGCAAAAGGACCTTAGCAGTAGCCAGGAATGTAGCCCAATGTTTCACAAATTGTTTCTAAAATGGTCTATCGCTCCATTTGAGAGCTGTTTGCTAGGGAAGAGTATTTTAATGCCACTCTCACTTTGAGATCTAAAGAACTTTATTTGTGGATTAACCAGGTTAGTAAAATACACTGTCATCTGTGTTTAAGCCAATGTCTCAATCAGAGACTCTCTCTCTCTGACTCATTTGGCAAGATATCTATTTTTATTAAGTGAAAGTCTCTAGTTCGTCTACTGACACCAGTCAAACATTAAAACTGATTAGGAAGGAGGTACAGTATACTCGTTACTGTATTTGACTTTCATGAGTTCATACATGATATTGATAGAAGTTGCATACATGGGGCTGTTGCTGCCCCCTACTGTATTACTCCGAATTATGCCAATGAGTGTTGTCCCTGTTCAAGCAAAATTTCCAGAGACTTACCAGAAACAACACGGGAAAGTGTTCAAAAGGTAGAGGAAAAGATATGCAAAAATAAAACTCCAACGTAAGTATATATGCTTCATATTTACAGTCAAATGGCTCTATTTTAGCAAGGTGTTGTGACTGTTTAACGCGCAGGTGAATGAAAAACTAATAGTACTTTGTCACACACTGAGCACTAGAAAATGAAACCTTGTTTGGTGCAGCTGTTTAACTTCCGCTTTGATTTCTTTTCAGTTGTTTGTTTTTGAAAACAGGAAATAATATTCATGCAGCCAAAATCACCGTGAGAAAAACCAACCACCGGAACATTTGCTGAGCCTTAGAGCTCTTGTTCCTCAAAGCAAGACCCCAACGGCGCAAAAGCCAGGACTTCAGCTTGCCAAGGTGAGGACTAGACAGATGGCTGAGGCCTGGCTTGTCAGGCTAACTTAGTTGCTATTTTCAAAGGAATTCATTCATTTATGGCACAGTTTAGCTCAAGCTACTCAGAGGTCCCTTCAGAGAGGCAGGTTTCTTCTGAAGAACGATGCATTTTCAAGCCAAGATGATCTCAGCTCAGACTTCCCTTACTCACAGCCATTGCAGCAAAGGCAGCCTTTCTTGAACAATACAGAAAAGAGGGAGCTCATTCTTACAAACGCTAGTCAGCTGCTAGCATCCTCCCCTGTATTACTTTGGTTGCAGGGCCACAGAGAAAGTTCAGCTGCTGTACAAAGGGTATGTGTCCCCTTCCTACAGTAACAGTAAGAAAGCCACCCAAGGTCAATTTTTGTTTTTTAATTTATGAAGTCCCAGGTCATCTTAGTTTTCTTCCGTTTGCACTTCCCACCCCGACACTTCCTCCGCCAGTGCATATTATTTTTAAAGCACAAGTCAAACTATAAGCTGATATAAGTCAGAGGGAGCCCTTCTCCCTGCTCAAATGAGTCTCTTCCCGCTGATTACCAATGTGGGTCTCCAAAAGGATTACACACATATTACAAGGGAGGACGATAAGGGGCCTGACTAATTGAATAAAGAACAGATTTATGCACGAGGCATAAGGGATTGGTCGAAAAAGGCTTTCCTTGCCTACCAATCCCCGTCTAGTCTGCCGCTTTTTGCCGTCAAATTGCTGCGTCGGCAAAAAGCAGCAGCCATTTTTCTTCTAATGAAGCATGGGATATTTAAACCCCCGCTTCATTAGCAATTTCGGTATGTCTAATTTACATCCCTCTGGCACGGATGGCCCCATTTCAGATGGGTTAGCATTCAGCACTAGGGATGTAAGCAAGCCTAATCAACTACTTGAATTCCTCCCACCCCTCCTTGTTGCCTCTGGTACGGAGGCAGCAAGGGGGGGGGGGAGGGGAAACAAGAGAAGGTGCTAGGGGGAACCAACTTAAAAGCCAGTTCACCCCCAGCATCATCTCCGCTGTGGTGCTGCCTATCCACGCTCCCCCACGCTGCTGCCTCTAACAGAGGCAGCATTACAGGGAGTGGACAGAGGATGATGGTGTGAGGCAGCCTCTGCCAGCAGCAGGCTCAGGCTCACCGCAGGCAGAGGCTGCTCTGCATCCCGCGGAGCAGCCTCTGTCCATGGTAAGCCTGGGCCTGTTGCAGGCAGAGGTTGCTCCGGCAGCAGCTGCTCCAGCAGCAGCCTCTGTCTGTGGTGGTCGTGAACAGAGGCTGTTATGGTCAGGCAGGCAGCCCGGCTCAATTCCGGCTCACACCAGGTCCAGGACCTACCCCTGCTGAGGTTCTGCAATCTAAACATGCTAAGAGCCAGGCGGGCAGGCAGCCTGGCTTGTAGTACGTTTAAACTGCAAAGCCAAACCAGGGGGAAGTCCTGGACCCGGTATGAACCGGGACTTAGCTGGGCTGCCTTCCCTTATTGACTAACCCAGTAGTCGATTAGCCAATTAACCACATCTTAACATCTCTACTCAGCACAGCTCCGTTGTACCTCTGTTGCTGTTACCCATGCTACGAGGCTATACCGCTATTTATACTTGCACAAGCTTGATGACACTAATTGCAAGTACCTATACACAAGAAGGGAAATCACACCCCTAGCTTACAGTGTAGAAGTAGCTTAAGGGCAGACATTTTGATACTCATAAGAGCTATTTGACCAAGTCCTCATACATACACTCTTCCAAAAACACCCTGCTGGTTGAAATTCTTTCCCCTCTTTCTTTCAACAATTAACTGCAAATTAAAATTAAGCATATGTTTAAGTAATGTTAAATATTAAACGACACTGAAACAAAAGAGGGACCTAAGCCACATACTTTAGATTAAGAACTGAATCCAATCTAAACTAGCTCTTTAGAGTTTCATGGGCCCACAGAGTCAGGAATCATGTTTGCCTCTCACACCTCAAGAGTAGTGTGTTCTGCACTGGGGAGGGTCTTGTGACTTTTAGCCAGAGTTCAACCACCTAGCATCTCTACAGCTATGAAGAGCTTGATGTCACCGTGTATGGATCACAACTCTAAGGGCTACTAGTCATTGCCAATGAGACTAAGATCAATACTAGCAGCAAGGAGGATGTGTTTCTAACCAGCGTATAAATGGATACTCTCCTTCCTACAGACAGTGACTCCGGAGAAGAGCTAGTTTGGGTGCAAATCCAGGCTTCTGATTGTGCCTTCACATATCTACATTGTAATGCCCTCCCATCCTCCATTTCATGGTCTCAGTATCACACATATCACCTTACCTCAAACTCCTCTCTTCCAGCAAATAGACACCTCATGTTCCTACCCTTCTTCACAGCAGTCAACTAGAGAGCATTTATTACCACATTCAGTACTTTTTCTAATCTTGACCCAGAATGCACCAAACAGTCTCATCACCAACTTTGTGCAGTACCAAACAAAAAAATCATCTCGTGGACATCTCCACAGAAACCCGAGCAATCCCTTTCTCAACTACACATTCTTCCCTGGTGGCTGGCAGGGCCTCAAAGCCCTTAGAAACAAGCAACTCTGTGCCCACTGAAGTCGATGATAAACTTCCACAGGACAAATTCTGTGCATATTCTGCAGTCTGGTGAGTGAACCCAGCTGTTAAGCAATAGATTATATATTACTTACCTCTAGGACCTTCCCGGTAATGAACTGGTGACATGCTTCGCATTTGACCCCAAAGAGAACCTGGTAGTCCTTTTCGCAATAAGGGGAACCATCCCTGAAATAAAATATCCAGAAGGTACAAGTTACAATGGGGCTTGTATTTTTTCCTTTGTCCGTAGTGGAAATTCCCACTGACAGCAATAGGTGAAGGGGCAGAAAGCAAGGGTAGCTATTTTGCAGCTCAAATGAAATGGCATTATAGTTTGCATCTTTTTAAGGGTCACCATTTCACATATAGGATCATTTCATTTCAGAGAACAAAGAGGAGCCATTCAACCACAAATGTGGGCTAGATTCTCTGCTGTTGTCAATGGATATAAAATCAACTGAGCTATGCCCTTTGACATCCTTTGTCCACATTCTATAGTACATATGCATGTGCCTGCTGCATCTCTCTATCCATTACTGTAAATAAATCCTTGGTAATCTTGATAGTGTATAAACACAGACACATCTCCACATGAGTGGCATCATGAAAATTCAAAAGGGAGGTGGGCAATGCTATCTTTGTATGTCTGAGGAATTAATTAGGAACACCTTAGTCAATTTAAAGAATGTATATGGTAGCAGGTACCACCTTATACGTTCCTTGTTTAATTTCATAGATGCACGCCTGTTTATATATATGCCCACGAAAATGAGTGATAAAAAGTTTGCATCTGTCACATACTCTAGTGCCCCTATATTTTTTCTTCCCCACCTAGATGTTTGAAGGGGCTTTGCCTGAACTCCCTCCATCTTGCAGCTAATGCGCTCTTTCTGATTTTTCTCCCTTGCCTTGATTTCTCCTAACTTTCCTCTTCATTAGTCCCTAATCCGGAGAAGGTAAACATAGTGTAAGGTCAATCCTACCCATATTCTGGTCTCTGTTCTAGTAAAGGGAGAGACATGTAATGTTTTTCTTTCTCCTCAAGTTCACAAACTTGAGAAACAAAATAATTGGACAAAATGGCACAAAAGCCATGCCTTTGAAACACAAAAGAGACATGGGGGAGTTCACACAACCCTCTTCTGGATCAGGAAAGACTTGCAACCCTCCTACTCATAGTATTTATTTTGTTAATTCCTGTTAATCACTTTTTGTTACTTACTCTAGTCAGCCTACAAGGGGAAAATTCCCCGTCGGTCTCAGTTCCAGTATTCTGCTTCTACTATGAGGGAGGATTTCAGTGTGATAAGCACAGAAGAAAAAAACTGACTTGGGAAACTAGAATTAAAAAATTGGAGCTGTTGAATGACAACATGCGCCACATTTAATGAAATGAGAAAAGCTCCAAGCTCATTGTCACCTTTGTTTATTATTGCAATTCCTAAAATCTTGGGGGTGAAGGTGTATAGCCTGCCCCTCCATGTCCTCCAACATATACCCCCACAAGTGATCAGCACATGCCAAAAGAGCAGCTTTTCATAAGCGCAGTTTGCCCAGCAGATTGGAAAAGAATTTGGCCGCATGGTACTTTTGGAAAGTAACCACAGATTTCATGCCAGGCAATAGAAAAACACAGAAGGCTCCTTACTTGCTGATGTATTCCCCAGTCAGGACTTTGCCACAGGCCTTGCACTTAAAACATCCCAGGTGCCACTGCTTATCCAGTGCTAGTAGTGCTTGGCCATTTTTTATATCTCTTCCACAGCCAGCACAATCTGCAAATAAATAAATACACGCACGGTCAGTGACTTGGCTTTATTTATCTTCATTAGCCTACCTACTGAATACCACTTCTAGGTTAACTAGAAGGGGTCATTGCAAAGCAATCATGACACCTATATTCCCACAGAACAGCGGTTTCTCCAAGTGTGGTCTGTGGATCACTAGTGGGCTGCGACCATCTTGTAGGTGGGCCATGGACTTAGGACTCACCCTCCCCCCCATGCAGTGAGGAGCTGCAGCTCCGCCCTCCCCCATGAGGTTGGAGCACCAGCACCACCTTCCCACTGTGGGGGAGGGGCAGGCCAGCTGGGGGAAAGGCACTGTAGGAAGCCACTTGTCTGGAGGCTTTCCCTTATGCTCCCATTGGCCGGAATCATGGCCAATGGGAGCAGAGGGGGTGGTGACTGGGAGCAGTGGGAGGCACAAAGCCAGGTAAGTGCCCCCCATTTCCCTCATGCCAAAACCCCACACCCCAATGTCCCTCACGCATCCTCTTCCCACCAAGACCTCACACCTGCAGCCTGCTCCAGCCCCCTCTGTTCCACTCAGACCTCCACCCCACTCCTGCACCCAACCTCCCTCCCAGTCATCTCCCCTAGCCCACTCCTGCACCCTCCCTCCCAACTATACTTCCACCCCTTCTTGCACCCATTTTGTCATCATGGATGGTTGGCTAGAACGACTGCCGTAAGGGGTGAGCACACCTCCCAGCTCCAGCCCAGGGGACAAGGAACCACAGATGCCTTCTCCTCCACACTGAGCACACTTAAGAATAGCCTGGAAGACACTATCACACCTTCAAAAATGCTGATTTGCACCCAGCCCAGCTCAGCCAGCCCTGCAGATTTTATGAGGAATTAACAAAATATGCTTTCCCTCACAAGAATGTCTTCAAGGGAGCCTCTTGTTTATTTGTTTTTGCTATCAGCAAAGTCTGTTACTCCAAGAGAGCTATATCAAGCAGCCATGGGCTGGCAATTTCTAATCTATAATGAAATGCTCCTCGGTAGTTGTCCTTCTCAGGCATTACTTTTTCCCCTCCAGATGGCAGCAAAGCACTAAATGTTACATGGGTACTTGGTACCAGCAAACTTTCAAAGACTCAGGATTTGTAAAAGAGGCGAATTGTTACAGCTAGATAACATAACAAAGGCTTTGGCGGTAACTGCAGTATAACAGGGCGTATCCTGTCTTACACATAAGAAAGGAACAACTCCCATAGGCATTTATGGTGCACCAGAAATGACATTTACATGAGAACTTCTGTTCTTTGTTTGGAATCAACACTAAACATTGATATTTTGATCTGCTTTTATGGCCGGAATCAAGCAAACAGAGCCCCATGCAATGGCACTGAATGCCCTCTGCCAGAGAGAGCTAGAGATGTCATGGTGTTTCATATCACCTCAGCCCAGCCGTGGGCTGCCTTTC